GATTGCCGTCCTTTCCCTCTCATGGTCTCACCGGTTTTCCTGTCTCTGATTGCCGTCCTTTCCCTCTCATGGTCTCACCGGTTTTCCTGTCTCTGATTGCCGTCCTTTCCCTCTCATGGTCTCACCGGTTTTCCTGTCTCTGATTGCCGTCCTTTCCCTCTCATGGTCTCACCGGTTTTCCTGTCTCTGATTGCCGTCCTTTCCCTCTCATGGTCTCACCGGTTTTCCTGTCTCTGATTGCCGTCCTTTCCCTCTCATGGTCTCACCGGTTTTCCTGTCTCTGATTGCCGTCCTTTCCCTCTCATGGTCTCACCGGTTTTCCTGTCTCTGATTGCCGTCCTTTCCCTCTCATGGTCTCACCGGTTTTCCTGTCTCTGATTGCCGTCCTTTCCCTCTCATGGTCTCACCGGTTTTCCTGTCTCTGATTGCCGTCCTTTCCCTCTCATGGTCTCACCGGTTTTCCTGTCTCTGATTGCCGTCCTTTCCCTCTCATGGTCTCACCGGTTTTCCTGTCTCTGATTGCCGTCCTTTCCCTCTCATGGTCTCACCGGTTTTCCTGTCTCTGATTGCCGTCCTTTCCCTCTCATGGTCTCACCGGTTTTCCTGTCTCTGATTGCCGTCCTTTCCCTCTCATGGTCTCACCGGTTTTCCTGTCTCTGATTGCCGTCCTTTCCCTCTCATGGTCTCACCGGTTTTCCTGTCTCTGATTGCCGTCCTTTCCCTCTCATGGTCTCACCGGTTTTCCTGTCTCTGATTGCCGTCCTTTCCCTCTCATGGTCTCACCGGTTTTCCTGTCTCTGATTGCCGTCCTTTCCCTCTCATGGTCTCACCGGTTTTCCTGTCTCTGATTGCCGTCCTTTCCCTCTCATGGTCTCACCGGTTTTCCTGTCTCTGATTGCCGTCCTTTCCCTCTCATGGTCTCACCGGTTTTCCTGTCTCTGATTGCCGTCCTTTCCCTCTCATGGTCTCACCGGTTTTCCTGTCTCTGATTGCCGTCCTTTCCCTCTCATGGTCTCACCGGTTTTCCTGTCTCTGATTGCCGTCCTTTCCCTCTCATGGTCTCACCGGTTTTCCTGTCTCTGATTGCCGTCCTTTCCCTCTCATGGTCTCACCGGTTTTCCTGTCTCTGATTGCCGTCCTTTCCCTCTCATGGTCTCACCGGTTTTCCTGTCTCTGATTGCCGTCCTTTCCCTCTCATGGTCTCACCGGTTTTCCTGTCTCTGATTGCCGTCCTTTCCCTCTCATGGTCTCACCGGTTTTCCTGTCTCTGATTGCCGTCCTTTCCCTCTCATGGTCTCACCGGTTTTCCTGTCTCTGATTGCCGTCCTTTCCCTCTCATGGTCTCACCGGTTTTCCTGTCTCTGATTGCCGTCCTTTCCCTCTCATGGTCTCACCGGTTTTCCTGTCTCTGATTGCCGTCCTTTCCCTCTCATGGTCTCACCGGTTTTCCTGTCTCTGATTGCCGTCCTTTCCCTCTCATGGTCTCACCGGTTTTCCTGTCTCTGATTGCCGTCCTTTCCCTCTCATGGTCTCACCGGTTTTCCTGTCTCTGATTGCCGTCCTTTCCCTCTCATGGTCTCACCGGTTTTCCTGTCTCTGATTGCCGTCCTTTCCCTCTCATGGTCTCACCGGTTTTCCTGTCTCTGATTGCCGTCCTTTCCCTCTCATGGTCTCACCGGTTTTCCTGTCTCTGATTGCCGTCCTTTCCCTCTCATGGTCTCACCGGTTTTCCTGTCTCTGATTGCCGTCCTTTCCCTCTCATGGTCTCACCGGTTTTCCTGTCTCTGATTGCCGTCCTTTCCCTCTCATGGTCTCACCGGTTTTCCTGTCTCTGATTGCCGTCCTTTCCCTCTCATGGTCTCACCGGTTTTCCTGTCTCTGATTGCCGTCCTTTCCCTCTCATGGTCTCACCGGTTTTCCTGTCTCTGATTGCCGTCCTTTCCCTCTCATGGTCTCACCGGTTTTCCTGTCTCTGATTGCCGTCCTTTCCCTCTCATGGTCTCACCGGTTTTCCTGTCTCTGATTGCCGTCCTTTCCCTCTCATGGTCTCACCGGTTTTCCTGTCTCTGATTGCCGTCCTTTCCCTCTCATGGTCTCACCGGTTTTCCTGTCTCTGATTGCCGTCCTTTCCCTCTCATGGTCTCACCGGTTTTCCTGTCTCTGATTGCCGTCCTTTCCCTCTCATGGTCTCACCGGTTTTCCTGTCTCTGATTGCCGTCCTTTCCCTCTCATGGTCTCACCGGTTTTCCTGTCTCTGATTGCCGTCCTTTCCCTCTCATGGTCTCACCGGTTTTCCTGTCTCTGATTGCCGTCCTTTCCCTCTCATGGTCTCACCGGTTTTCCTGTCTCTGATTGCCGTCCTTTCCCTCTCATGGTCTCACCGGTTTTTCCTGTCTCTGATTGCCGTCCTTTCCCTCTCATGGTCTCACCGGTTTTCCTGTCTCTGATTGCCGTCCTTTCCCTCTCATGGTCTCACCGGTTTTCCTGTCTCTGATTGCCGTCCTTTCCCTCTCATGGTCTCACCGGTTTTCCTGTCTCTGATTGCCGTCCTTTCCCTCTCATGGTCTCACCGGTTTTCCTGTCTCTGATTGCCGTCCTTTCCCTCTCATGGTCTCACCGGTTTTCCTGTCTCTGATTGCCGTCCTTTCCCTCTCATGGTCTCACCGGTTTTCCTGTCTCTGATTGCCGTCCTTTCCCTCTCATGGTCTCACCGGTTTTCCTGTCTCTGATTGCCGTCCTTTCCCTCTCATGGTCTCACCGGTTTTCCTGTCTCTGATTGCCGTCCTTTCCCTCTCATGGTCTCACCGGTTTTCCTGTCTCTGATTGCCGTCCTTTCCCTCTCATGGTCTCACCGGTTTTCCTGTCTCTGATTGCCGTCCTTTCCCTCTCATGGTCTCACCGGTTTTCCTGTCTCTGATTGCCGTCCTTTCCCTCTCATGGTCTCACCGGTTTTCCTGTCTCTGATTGCCGTCCTTTCCCTCTCATGGTCTCACCGGTTTTCCTGTCTCTGATTGCCGTCCTTTCCCTCTCATGGTCTCACCGGTTTTCCTGTCTCTGATTGCCGTCCTTTCCCTCTCATGGTCTCACCGGTTTTCCTGTCTCTGATTGCCGTCCTTTCCCTCTCATGGTCTCACCGGTTTTCCTGTCTCTGATTGCCGTCCTTTCCCTCTCATGGTCTCACCGGTTTTCCTGTCTCTGATTGCCGTCCTTTCCCTCTCATGGTCTCACCGGTTTTCCTGTCTCTGATTGCCGTCCTTTCCCTCTCATGGTCTCACCGGTTTTCCTGTCTCTGATTGCCGTCCTTTCCCTCTCATGGTCTCACCGGTTTTCCTGTCTCTGATTGCCGTCCTTTCCCTCTCATGGTCTCACCGGTTTTCCTGTCTCTGATTGCCGTCCTTTCCCTCTCATGGTCTCACCGGTTTTCCTGTCTCTGATTGCCGTCCTTTCCCTCTCATGGTCTCACCGGTTTTCCTGTCTCTGATTGCCGTCCTTTCCCTCTCATGGTCTCACCGGTTTTCCTGTCTCTGATTGCCGTCCTTTCCCTCTCATGGTCTCACCGGTTTTCCTGTCTCTGATTGCCGTCCTTTCCCTCTCATGGTCTCACCGGTTTTCCTGTCTCTGATTGCCGTCCTTTCCCTCTCATGGTCTCACCGGTTTTCCTGTCTCTGATTGCCGTCCTTTCCCTCTCATGGTCTCACCGGTTTTCCTGTCTCTGATTGCCGTCCTTTCCCTCTCATGGTCTCACCGGTTTTCCTGTCTCTGATTGCCGTCCTTTCCCTCTCATGGTCTCACCGGTTTTCCTGTCTCTGATTGCCGTCCTTTCCCTCTCATGGTCTCACCGGTTTTCCTGTCTCTGATTGCCGTCCTTTCCCTCTCATGGTCTCACCGGTTTTCCTGTCTCTGATTGCCGTCCTTTCCCTCTCATGGTCTCACCGGTTTTCCTGTCTCTGATTGCCGTCCTTTCCCTCTCATGGTCTCACCGGTTTTCCTGTCTCTGATTGCCGTCCTTTCCCTCTCATGGTCTCACCGGTTTTCCTGTCTCTGATTGCCGTCCTTTCCCTCTCATGGTCTCACCGGTTTTCCTGTCTCTGATTGCCGTCCTTTCCCTCTCATGGTCTCACCGGTTTTCCTGTCTCTGATTGCCGTCCTTTCCCTCTCATGGTCTCACCGGTTTTCCTGTCTCTGATTGCCGTCCTTTCCCTCTCATGGTCTCACCGGTTTTCCTGTCTCTGATTGCCGTCCTTTCCCTCTCATGGTCTCACCGGTTTTCCTGTCTCTGATTGCCGTCCTTTCCCTCTCATGGTCTCACCGGTTTTCCTGTCTCTGATTGCCGTCCTTTCCCTCTCATGGTCTCACCGGTTTTCCTGTCTCTGATTGCCGTCCTTTCCCTCTCATGGTCTCACCGGTTTTCCTGTCTCTGATTGCCGTCCTTTCCCTCTCATGGTCTCACCGGTTTTCCTGTCTCTGATTGCCGTCCTTTCCCTCTCATGGTCTCACCGGTTTTCCTGTCTCTGATTGCCGTCCTTTCCCTCTCATGGTCTCACCGGTTTTCCTGTCTCTGATTGCCGTCCTTTCCCTCTCATGGTCTCACCGGTTTTCCTGTCTCTGATTGCCGTCCTTTCCCTCTCATGGTCTCACCGGTTTTCCTGTCTCTGATTGCCGTCCTTTCCCTCTCATGGTCTCACCGGTTTTCCTGTCTCTGATTGCCGTCCTTTCCCTCTCATGGTCTCACCGGTTTTCCTGTCTCTGATTGCCGTCCTTTCCCTCTCATGGTCTCACCGGTTTTCCTGTCTCTGATTGCCGTCCTTTCCCTCTCATGGTCTCACCGGTTTTCCTGTCTCTGATTGCCGTCCTTTCCCTCTCATGGTCTCACCGGTTTGTATCCTGCTTTGTATCATTCATTTGCTTGTAAAAAAGGTCAGCTCATCATATTCCCCACTTTTCCTCTTTCTCTCCCTCCCTCCCGCTCTCGCTCTCCCCCCCACACTTTCCCCAAACAGGAGCGAGACACCAACGCCCTTTCCAACCACTCCTGCCCTCCTCCCTCACAGCACCTCCTCTCTCGCTTGTCCAACCTGCTCCTGGGTCGCCCGCTCTCAGCCTCCTGGCGTCCCTCCCCACACCCCAGCACCAGTAGCAGCCTCATTCTCAGCACCAGCAAGGGCCTTGGTGGGATTGTGGAGAATCCAGGGGCTGAGCACTTAGCTAAGTGGGGGCCTCTGGTGGAGACGCGGAGAGGGGTGCCGGCGGTGGGGAGATGGTGGCAGAAGACGTTAGAGGAGAAAGTGGAGGAGGGGGAGGAGGGGGAGGGGGATGAGGGAGGGGTTTGGAGGGGTGGGGAGTGGTCGGGAGGAGGGGAGATGGTGGTTAGTAGGGGCGTGGGGATGGGGGGAGGCGCGGCGGTGGCGGGGTGTGTGGGGGGGGTGGTGGGGAAGACGATGCAGGTGGCGCGAGTGAGGCTGGTTCGCGATGGGTCTTCCATGCGACAGGTGGGTGGGGTGCTGGGGGTACTGGGGGTGAGAGGTAGAGTGGGTAGGCTGCTGGGTGGACTCAAAAGTTTCACCATTGCTTTCATCATTCATGCCACAGGTGGGTGGGCTGGAGGGGGGGGTAGTGAGAGGCGTGGTAGGGGGGTTGAAGGAGGATGGTTGGATGGGTTGTGAATCACATGCATACGTGGAATCCCTCTTGACCACTTTTCCTCACTATCCTCCCTCCCTCCCTCCGCCCCTCCCTCCCTCCCCCCTTACTCCTCTTCCCCTCAACCCCCCTCCTTTACCCCTCCTGCCCTCCACTTCCCCTATTCCCACCCCCCAGGTCGTCAAAACCGACTCTCCCTCCGCTACCACAGCCACAGCAGCAGCTCCGTGGTTCTCCTCCTCCACCCCAGCGCGTCCCTCCACAGTGTCACGCGCCAAGGGGCGCCTGCGCACGCTGCACCTCCTGGCAGACCTCTCCCACCGCACTGCTCTGGGTGCTCCCCTGTAACCCTCAATCTCACCCTCCTCAATCTCCTCCCTCCTTCCTTCCATCCATCCCCCCCTCTGTCCCTCGTCCCTTACTCATCAGGTCGTCATAACCGACTCGCCCACAACAGCCACGGAAGCAGCTCCGTGGTTCTCCTCCGCCCCAGCGCGTCCCTCCACGGTTTCACGAGCCAAGGGGCGCCTGCGCACGCTGCACCTCCTGGCAGACCTCTCCCACCGCATTTCACTCGGCGCGCTTCTGGGAGCCTTCCCCCTGCGCTCCTCCTCGTCCCACGCCGCCTCCTCCCAGGTCATAGCCCTCCTCTTGCTCTCCTCTCTGCACCTCCTCTTCCTCCTCCTCGTGCGTCCCTTCATCTCTCGCCTCATCCTCGCTACAGAGTCGCTCTCTCACGCCGCCTACATCGCCCTCCTCTCCCTCGCCCTCGCTTTCATCTCTCTAGACCCATCTGCAAACCCCACTGCGTGCCAGCCGGGTTCTGCCTGGGATATCGCCATGGTATCAATGCTTGTGGTTACTGCGGCTGCACAAACAGTTACCTTCTGGTATGGGATAGTGGAGCAGGTTAGAGCGCTGTGCCCTGGTAAGGCGCTTGGGTCGACTAGAGGAGCAGCAGCAGGAGGAGTAGCAGGAGCAGGAGGAGGAGGGGGAGGAGGAGTGGTAGGGGTTCGGTCGAGGAAGCTTCTGACTGCTGGCCCGGCAACTTCTCCCAAGGCTTTCTCGCCTTCCTACTCCCTCCCCACCTCCTCCTCCTCCCCCTCCGCGTGCTCCCCCGCGCCCTCTGCGGTTGTTCAGTTCTGGGAAGGTCTGAAGGCTGTGTGGCAGGGGTTCGGGCTGCTGCTGCCGGTGGCTGTGCGTCCGTGGCTGGGGTGTGGGAGCAAGAGGGAGAAGGAGGAGGAGCGAGGGGATGCGGCGGAGGAGATGGGGAAGCAGTCGCTGGTGGCGAATGATGGGTGTGCGGTGGAGATTAGTAATGGGAGCAGTGGTGGGGATGGGGAGGGAGGGATGGGAGGGGCGGGAGGGATGGAAGGGGTGGGAGAGGAAGAAGCAGGGGTGCAGGAAGGTGATGAAGGGTATGAAACTGCAGAGGGGGTGGAGGGTCAGAGAGGATTAGAGGCGGGCGAAGCAATGACTGTAGCAGCTGATGGGTCTGGCGCTGCTGCTTCTGTTGCTGCTGCTGGCGCTGCTGTTGCTGGCACTGCTGCTGCCGCTGCTGCTGTGGGGATCTTCGCAGCAGCAGGAGGAGGAAGCGGAGCAGGAGGAGGAGGTTCAGAGGAAGGCTACAGGACCGAGCGTGCGAGCACGTACACATCATCCCCTAGTGTGGCAGCAGGTACAGGCACTCTCACAGCGTCTGCTAGCAGAACGAGCATGGCTAGTGCGCTCACTCACAACAGCCTACCCACCACCATCACCACCACCACCACCACCGCCACCGCCACCGCCACCACCACTGCTACCGCCACCACTGGTAACCAGGATGATGTTCTTAGAAGCAACATCAACAACACCAGCAACACGAATGGAAGCGAGGCTAGTACGGGCGTTTCTTTTACTGACTGGGCTACAGGTTCCCATACAGACGGGCTCACTATAAGCTCGATGGCTGGCTCCTGGGGTTGGTCGAACGGTGGCCCGAATGGATCCACACCGCTAAGTAACAGGGTGTTTAGCGTTTCGCGCAGTGCCGGGCTAAGTGCAGCGTTTAGCGGTGGGAACATGAGGGTGGGGAGTGTGGGAGCAGGTGGAACTGGAAGGGTTGCTGGTGGGGTGATAGGAGCAGCAGGAGTGGGGTTCAACAGTCCTGGTTTCAATGCCGGTGGGTCTGATAAGGGACCTTCTGCTCCTGCTCCTGCTCTCTGGGCGAGTACCCATAGCCCTCTGCCGGCTGTCAGTCCTGTGATCTCACACAGCATGGATGGTTCACGAGGAGCATATTCCGGCAGTGTTGCTGCAGCTGCTGCCGCTCCTAGGGCCTACTCAGTCGATAGACACCATAATGTTCCACCAGCATTCGCTGCTGCTGCTGTTGCTGCCGCTGCTGGTAAATCCGGAGCAGCAGGAACAGAGGTATCCCACGGGGCATCAGAGCTTCAGAGAGAGGGATCGGAAGCGAGCTCATTTGTTGCGGGCTCCACCCTCCCAGTGTCCCCTGTGGCGCAGAGCAGGTGGCCTGAGGCCAAGCCTTCCCTCTGGGCCTCCCTTCTCAGCCTCACTGGCGTGAAGAAGACTGCTGCTGCTGACGCTGCTGGCGCTGACGCTGCTGCTGCTGCTGCTGCTGTAGCTGCCGGTTCTGATGGTGCTGGTGCTGATGGTGCTGGTGCTGACGGTGCTTCTAGTGGGTCCTATGGAGTGCCGGCAGGATTGGCTGCTACAGGTGCAGCTGCTGCCGCTGCGGAGGCGATTCATCCTGCTGCTGCCTTCCCTGCTGGGAGTGTGAGAGTAGGAGAGGGGATATCACAGGGCGGTCAAGCAGGCAGGGTGACGGAGGAGGGAGGAATGGGAGGGACGGGAGAGAGTGGAGAAGTGATAGTTAAAGTGAAGAGGGGTGAGGGTGGGACAGATGGAGAGACGGATGAGGGGACACGGGGAGGGGGAGAAGGAGGGACGAGTGTGGAAGGGAGGGTGGGGAGTGGGAGGAGCGGGAGGGCTGGAAGCATCCAGGTTTGGAGCCAAGCCTCTGGCGGAGGCTCGGGACGTGGGAGGCAGGAGGAGAAGGACGGGGGTGTGAGGGAAGAGGATGTGGAGGAGGGGGTGGGGAGTACAGGGGAGCCTTTTGGGGTGGGGGGAGGAAGGGAAGGGGGAGGTTGGGGCGGGAAGATGGTGGAAGAGGAGGAAGAAGGGGGTGCTGTGGCGTGCAGTGCGGTGGGCGGGGGTGGTGATGGGAGGAAGCGTGGAATGAGGACATCTGATGCGAGTGTGGAGGTGAAGGGAGGGAATGTGAGGGATGGTATAGCAGGAGAAGACATGGGAACGGTACCAGGGAGTGCAGATGGTATGGATGGTGCTGCTGCGGCAGTTCCTGGTGTTGTTGCTGTTGGTGGTGCTGCTGGTGTTGGTGCTGCTGCCGGTGCCGGTGGTGCTGGTGATGGTAATCCGTGGGTGATGAGGGCGAGTGTAGGGTCCACTGGAAGCTGTGGTAGTCGACCCAGGGACTTCATCCCTCCTTCCCTCCGTGACTCCTCCGCCTCTTCTGCTGCAGCTCCTCCTGCTGCCGCCTCTCCTGCTCCCCACGCTTCTGCCGCTGCTACTTCTGCCTCCCCTGCTGCTTCTGCTGCTGCTGCAGCGGCTGCTACTCCTCTAATCAAGCAGGGCACAGCAGGGGGGGCTGAAGGTGAGGGCACCAACCCGTTAGACGGAATGAGCCCAAGCATATCGGGGATTCGGCGGGAGGTGGTAGATGGGATCCTGGCAGCAGCAGCGGCGCTCTATGAGGAGAGGCACACAGGCGGCCCTGCTCCTGTGTCCCCCTTGCCTGCTCCCTCCCTCTCTGCTTCTCCTGCTCCTCCTGCAACAGTGGGAGCAGCAGCAGCAGGAGCAGCGGGAGCAGCAGCATACGCAATTGTCCAGCCGAAAGCTTCCACGATGCACACTCCTGAGGCAGAACGCACGGCCTCGGAACACAGCATTCCTGCTGCTGTCAGCAAGTATCCGTTGCGGGAGTCAGTGGGACAAAACGTCGACGGCGAGGAGGTGAAGTCGGCTCGTAGCAGCGCTGCACTATCCGGCTCTGCTGCTGCCGGTGCTGCTGGTTCTGGTGGCGGTGGGGGTGTGTTTGGTAAGGGGATATCAACATCTTCTTCTGTCATGTCTGCTGCCTCTGCTGTGGGATCTGCAGCTCCTCCTGCTGTTTCTGCTGCCGCTGCTGCTGCTGCTGCTGACTCTGCTGGTTCGTCTCCCCCAACTGCCGCTGCTCCTGCTTCTGTCGCGCCTGCTGCTGCGCCTTTCCCTGTGTCTGTCTCTGTCTCGGCCTCTGATCCTCCTGTTACTGCTGAGGGGAAAGGTCCAGGAGCTATGCCTCTTGAAAGCCCTGCACGGATGAATTTTGCAGCAGCAGCAGCAGCAGCAGCAGCTGCTGCTGCTACGCCAGCAGTGCTTCCTGCTGCTGCAGCACGTGTGTTTGTGGAAACGCCAGGAGCAGCTGCTGGGACTCCACTTCCTGTGTCCGTCCAACCTGGAACAGCTCCCTCTCCTGCAGCAGCAGCAGCAGCAGCAGCAGCAGCATGCAAACTGCCAGGAGCAGGTTTCGTCACTCCCACCCCAACAGGAACAATGGGAATGCATGCAGCAGCAGTGAGAATGCCAGCGGGAGCAACAGCTGGAGCCACGCCTGCAGCAGTGTACGGCACGCCTGGGTCCTTCCCTATGCCCATTCCCGAGATGTGTGAGAGCCCTTTTGCCACGTCCCTGGACTTTAGCTTTGCAGGGCAGGGAGTGAGACAAGCGAGCCAACACATGCCGCAGTTGGTGCAGAGAAAGGAGTATCGAGAGGAGCAGCAGCAGCGGGAGTCTGTGGATAGTCCCGGAGCAGAGGCGTATGGGCGAGCTAGGTCGGGGAACGGGAGGAGGGAAGGGTTTGGAGGGGAAGGTAGTGCTGCGTGTGATGGTGCTGCCAGTGGGACCTCCTCTCATGTGTCTGCTCGTTCTGCTGCTGTCATCGCTGCCCCTGGACCTGCTCCTCCGCATCCACCTGTTGCTGCATCAGTGTCCGCATCATCAGCAGCAGCACCAGCCGCAGCAACAGCAGCAGCATCAACCGCAGCAGCAGCGGCAGCAGCTGTTGCTGTTGATAGAACCACGGAGCAGCACTCTGCCTCTGGTACAGAGGGCATGGGGGAAACAAGCTCAATGGGAGAGACATGGAGCAATACGAGCCAGGGCAGCAGTCAATGCACCGGGGAGACGGGGAAGAAGGAGAAGAAGAAGAAGCAGAAGCGAGTGAAGAAGGCAGTCCGGGTTGCAGAGAGCACCGCGTCAAGCCTGGGCTTCCATGCAATGGAGGGGAATGAGAGGGCGAGGGAGAATTTAGAAGAGAATGATCCTATGGCAGCGGTTGATGGGCTGCTAATGGTGGCTCCTAAGGGTAGTGAAGCAGGGGGTAGGGCGAGAGGGAGGGTGGATGTGGAGGGAGGGAAAGGAGGAGTAGGAGAGGGGGGTAATGCGGCAGAGGAGATTGTACCTGTGAGGTCTTGCTCTCCTGATGTCAGTTCCATGGGAAGCAAAGGGCACCGGAGCATTGGAGGAGGGTTTGCTCTGGCGCATCCTAGTGTGGGATCTGGTGCTGGTGGTGCTGGTGGTGGTGCTATAGGCAGTGGTGCCGCCAGGAGTGGGAAGAGTGGTGGTGGAAGTGCAAGGGGGAGTGGTGGGGGGAGTGGTGCGAGGGGTGGAGTGGCGAGTGGTGGGTCGCAGGGGAGCAGGGGGGGAATGGAGGTGCTTATGGAGTCAACGGCTAGCAATAACACGAGGATACTGAAGGGTGCTGTGGTCGGGGAGAGTGTCTGCACCAGGGAAAAAGGGGTTGCTTTGGATGAGAGTGTCAGTGGGTCGACTACCAACTCCCTTGCCAAGAAAGCTTGAGATTTTATCTAGATGTGGTGTCCAGGTTTGAGTGTGCTGCTTGTGTCCCTTATCTCCTCTCGAATTCCTCACCCCTAGGAGTTTTTTTTAGTTTCCATCACGCTTCATTTATACGTGCCTTAGAATAGGGATGGTAATGTAGCGGCATACTTGATTGCTGTGTACTCAGTACTAACGCTTGGTAGTGCCACGTGTTGCTGAATCATAACTTGCGCCACGCTGCATGATAATCCGCAAGGCAGCCAATCCCGAGAAACTTCAGAAAGCGGAACCAATTAGCGAATACTCCCTCCCGCTCCGCCCGCCATCCCGCGATCTGCGCGACTTGGCGAGGTCACTCGGATCGCTCTGGTGGCGTGGAGCGACCTCTCGTCGGAAACTCAAGGGTGGCCGCTCGCTACTCCTCCCCCAAGCCTTCGGGTTTTCCGCCTCCTTCACTCACACACGCGCAACCCGACCCGAGCTTGAATTCCCCTCCGCCGTGCCCCTCGCTTTTCACATAGCGCGCGCGCGAGCGCTCCTTCTTCCCCCGGACTCTGCACTGGGACTGTACTGTACAACATCCCCTTGCCTCCCCCCCCATTGCCCCTCTTCCCCCATTTATTTTCCCAAACCCCTCACGCGCAGCTTGCAACTTGGAATTCAAAATTTCATGCTCTCGTGTTTTTTTCGACTTTTGAGTGGTCCGCGCAAGTGTCGTGCAACAGACCAAAGAAAGAAATGCCTAGGGAGTTGCGCCCTCGTCGTGGTCTCTGCTGTGCCACAGTGTTTTCCCCAAAGCGTCACTGCACTAGCAAGATCGGAAGGCACTTTCGACTCGAGTGACTTTTTGAGTTGGATCTTGGCTGCCTCTCTGCTTGTCTGCCTGCCTGTCTGCCTGTCTGCCTGCCTGTCTGCCTGCCTGCCTGCCTGCCTGCCTGCCTGCCTGCTTGTCTGCCTGCCTGCTACTGCCGCTATTGCTTCGTTCGTGCGGTTCGGGTGGCCATTCGCGTACCGGCGCGGCCCAAGGGCATGCGCGAGATTCTCTTCGCTGCGGCGCTGCTGCTCGTTCGCGTCCCGCAAAGATTCCAACTTGCGAAGCGGTGCTGCGCAGAAGCTCCTGCTGCTCCCGCATTCCGCCAATCGCGCTACGAAGGGAGATATCTCTCAAGTACAATCGCGGTAGATTCTCGTGAATCAGCGGAAGTTCTTGTTACCGGGGAGAGGGGATCAGAAGGAGCGGAGGGCGAGCCGCGTGGCGCATGGCGTGAATTCATCCCCAGGATAAACGCTGAGAGAGGCAACGGCAACGAAGGGATTGAAAAGGCTGAAATTCTATCCGGATTTGAGGATCGGAGCAGGGGGAAGCTTCGAGTCTCGTCGATAAGAGGCACATTCACTGCCGGATTCAGCTTAGGAGGTGTAGCAGTTGGGGGAGGAGAGGGAGGAGGAGGGGGAGCAGGAGACGGAGGAGGAGGTGTTGAAAGCAGATTTATCGGCATCTGTAGATTAAGTCCGCTGTTGCCGCTGTCACCCGTCGCCATGATGCTTCAATCACAGGCAAGTGGCAAGTGGCAAGTGGCAAGTTCCCGCGGACTCTCCCCTGCGATCCCCATCCTCAACCTCGTCCTCCGCCCCGAGCCGCTCTGCTTTATGACTGATTGCCGTCGCGGCATTTGTTGTCCGAATAACTGTAACGACTGTAATCGCCGGATTAGGATCACAATGAGAGTATCCGACGTAAGGCTGGGTTGAAAGAAATTGTCAGCTAACACGAGTCTTCAGTTAGTCAGTCGATAGCTCACCTCAGAAGTCTGACAGTTGTCATGTCGAGCCTTTCGCAACCCTTCCTTTCCCCGGCCTTCCGCTGATAGGTCCTCGACTTGCCTCCCAATTGCCCCTCGTGGCCGCGCCTAACCTCTTCCTGACCGTTCTTTTTTTCACCCTTCCCCCCATTTTGCTCGTTCTCCGCAGATGGCGCGCACTGCTTGCGCCGCTCCCCCGCGTGCCGCCGGGGGGGCTTCCGCTTTCCGCGCTCCCCCGGTAACGCGCGAGTCGCTGCATTTCCGCGTCGCACCGTCGCAGAGCGCGTGGCTGCGGCAGTCGCAGCAACAGAGCCGTGCGATAAGCTCTTCCGCTCGTGCGACAGGCCCTGTCGCATCCCAGTCGTCCGCAGCAGCCGCAGCCGCAGCTGCTGCGCGGATGGGGGGAGGGTCGGGGGGAGGATCAGGGGTGGCGGGGGTGGCGGGGGCTGTGGCGGGGCAAGCAGCGGGAATAGTGGAAACGGCGAGCGGAGCGGTTATAGCGGACGCGCCTCCCTTGATCCATCCGAACGCTGTTGTGCATCCCGACGCTGTGATTAGGGAGGTAAGAAAACTGAGGGTCCGTTGCCGTAGGCACCTGAGAAACATAAGGGGAATGTCGTAAGGGCCTTGGAGTAATAGGAACAGTGCTAGTTTCTTTACTGGTCCCAAACCGCTTCTATCTATACGATGTGTTTGCGCAGCAACTGTACAATTAATAGCCAATTTTATCCTCTCACCCCCCTCCTTACTGCCTGCCCCTGTCCCGTTCTCGCTCTCTCCCCCCATGCTGTCCCCGATTCCACCTCTGTCCCCATCCTACCTCTGTCCCCATCCCCACTAATCGCACGGTCAGGGTGTGGAGATTGGTCCGTTCTGCACTGTTGGTCCCCATGTGACTATAGGGAGGGGCTGCAAGCTGCTGCCTGGGTGCCACGTGGCAGGGAACACAACAATTGGCGAGTTTTGCACGCTGATGAGGTGAGAAGAGCAGAGAGTGATTTCTGTCGGGTGAAAGAGGAGCGGGTGGGGGGGGGGGGGGGGGGCAATGAGAATGAGGGAGAAAGAGAGGGTGGAAGGGAGGGAGAGGAAGGTAGGAGGGAGCGGGTGAGGGAGAAAAAGCGGTTGCCATTGGCTATGATACCATTCTGTCTGTTGATTCTTTCTTTGCAGTACTCTCCCGTGTCTGTGTCTGTGATAGTCCGCGTTTGCAGCAGCACATGGCGCTTGGTCCATGCGGTGTGTTTCGGAATTTGAGAGACGTCTCAAAGGTCCATCCGCGTGGTGCCTTTGAAGGCATTTTCCACCTCTTGGTTTTTGAGTCGACTCAAAAATCGACTCATCCGCGTGATGCCTTTCAAGGCATTTTCCACCTCTTGCCTCCTCAAAGCTCCACAACCTTCTCATCTCTTTTTTGTTTTGTTTTTGTTCCTTTTCCCATCTTCTCCTGGGTCTCCTCCTCCTCTACTCTCCTCTCCTCCCCTGCTCCTTTCTGCGCCCCCTCCCCTGTCTGCTCCCAGTGGGGCAGTGGTGGGTGCGGACCTACCAGGCACGACGGTGATAGGCAGTCACAACAGCATCGGATACCATGCCACTGTGGGCGTCAAGTGCCAGGACCTCAAATACCAGGTGGGTAGGCGCGCTCTTACAGCGGGAGTGAAGTGGCAGCACGCTAAATACGATGTGGGAAGGAAGGCTACCGGGAAGGGAAGAGGCTTGCAACGGATACGAGGTGGACAAGGAGTCTTGCCTTGTTTGAAACGCTCAGCACTTGTAACAGAGCATTAAATACCAGGTGACCTGTGAGAGTCTAGTGCCAGGACGTCACATACCAGGTGGGTAAGGGTGCTTGCCTTGTCTACACGTCTAGATGAGGAGAAGGGGAGGAAAGGGAGTTGGGTAGATGGGCAGGGAGGGGTGGGTTCGGTTTGGTGGTAGGGTCATGGAATGACATCACTGAACTGAACACTTGTGATAAACCATCACTTGTGCATTATTTTGTCACCCAATCCTCTTTTCCCTACAGACATCTCCCCTCCCTCTCTGCCTCCACTCGTCCCCTTCACAACCTCTTTGCTTGTCCATACCCTCGTATTTTTGTTGGTTTTTCCTCCACCTCACTGGTGTTTGTGTGTGCATCTCCCCTCCAACCCCCGTATCATTGGAGCAGGAGGGCAGTGAGTGCTTCCTGGTGCTGGGCTCACACAACGACATTCGAGAGCACGCGCAGATCCACCGCTCCTCCAAGCCCGACGATGCCACCGTGAGTGTGTGGGTGCATGGATGCATGCATGCATGTAATTGCGTTTGTCAAGGACATTCCACACACAACGACACACAACGACATTCGAGAGCACGCGCAGATCCACCGCTCCTCCAAGCCCGACGATGCCACTGTGAGCCTTCTTGCTGTTGCTTTTCTGGTTGCACGTGTTGGTGCGTGCGTGCGTGGGTGCATGCGTGCGGCGTTAGACTCTATGGCGCGGGTATGTATGTGGTAAAGACCCCCTCATATATCGTCACGGAATGAGCATGTATGATTCAACCTTGAGAATCACACCATTCATCAGGCAGGGCAGGCATCAGACACCATTCATCTAGCATCATACACTGTCAACCTTGCAAGGTGCATGCCCTGTCCCAGCTCCCTCCGCCTTGCATTCCATTCCATGCTTGCTCCGTTCCCATTGCCTATCCCCCCTCCTTCCCCTATTCTCACATCCTCCCTCCCCCCTCTCCCTCACCCTCACCCTCTCCACCTCGCCGCGTCAGCTGATCGGGGACCGCAATCTGATCATGGGATCATGCCACGTGGCGCATGATTGCAAGATGGGCAACCGCAACATTCTCGCCAACGGCACGCTTTTGGGGGGGCATGTCGTGCTTCATGTAAGTAATTTGATTCCCCTACTCCCATCCCTTCCCCCATCCCTTCCCCCATCCCTTCCCGCATCCCTTCCCCCATCCCTTCGCCCATCCCTTCCCCCATCCCTTCCCTCATCCCTTCCCCCATCCCTTCCCCCATTCCTTCCCCCATCCCTTCCCCCATTCCTTCCTCCATCCCTTCCCGCATCCCTTCCCCCATCCCTTCCCCCATTCCTTCCCCCATCCCTTCCCCCTTTCCTTCCCCCATCCCTTCCCGCATCCCTTCCCCCATCCCTTCCCCCATTCCTTCCTCCATCCCTTCCCCCATCCCTTCCCCCATCCCTTCCCCCATCCCTTCCCCCATCCCTTCCCCCATCCCTTCCCCCATCTGTTCGTGCAACTCCTCCCCCATCCCGTTTCGTACCTCTTTGCCAATCTCGTCCCAACTGTCTAGGCATGCTCGTGCCAATTTTTTAGGCGCCTCAAAAGTCATCCCGTTTCGTATCTCTTTGCCAGTCTCGTCCCACCTGTCTAGGCGTGCTCGTGCCCACGCTGCCACTCTTCCCCCCGTCGCGGCAGTTGCACAAGCATATGACGCGACTCTACCCCCGGCTCGCACACCCCTCCCTCCCGTTCCCCGTCACAGGATTTCGTGCACACAGGGGGCGCGGTGGCAGTGCATCAGTTCTGTCACATCGGTTCCTACTCCTTCCTCGCTGGGGGCTCCATGGTACGAGGGGAGTGGTGTGTGGGTTGGTGGGTGCGCACATGTGTGCAGCTGTGTATGTTTGCACGGCATTGAGAAAGTGAAGTGATGCATGCAGTGGCAGTGCATCAGTTCTGTCACATCGGCTCCTACTCCTTCCTTGCTGGGGGGTCCATGGTGCGTCTGTGGGTGGAGGGGGTGGGTGGGGTGGGGAGGGGGCAGGTGGTGTGGTTGGTGGGTTGCGTGTGAGTAGCTGTGTTTGTAAGCAGCAGACAAGTGCTTGGCATGTGATTATGTGAATCATGCATTGAACTGCGAAACTATCTGAGAATTCTCAAAAGTGGCCGATCACGCTCACTCCTTGGCAACCCGAAAGCACCCAAGCGAACCTGAACCAACCCTACCCAACCCAGCCGCACCCAGCACGTTCACCATGGTGCCTACCGGGGCACAGGGCGGAGCTGAGGTGCCAAGGCTATCCGCGTCTGCCATCTAGTCCTCACCTCGCATCATCCCCTGTTGCGTCTCTCCCACCCCCACCCCGGTCCCCCAAGTGGTGCGGGACATGCCCACATTCACCATGGTAGCAGGCGACAGGGCGGAGCTCAGGGGCCTCAATCATCAACCACTGCCATCTACCTCCTCACCTCGCGCTGCCTCCTCGCTCCTCACCCCTGCCTTGTCCCTCCCCCCTCCCCTCTCTCCAGGTGGTGCGGGACGTGCCCACATACACCATGGTGGCGGGAGACAGGGCGGAGCTGAATCTCTTCAACCCATCAGCCATCAACCGCTGCCACGTTCACCATGGGTCAGGAGAGGAGTCCTCATCCTCACCTCGCGTTGCCTCCTCTCTCCTCTTCCCCCTCCCGCCGCTTCCCCTTTCCCCCTTGTCCCCCAGGTGGTGCGGGACGTGCCCACATACACCATGGTAGAGGGCGACAGGGCGGAGCTCAGGGCCCTCCAGAGAGGCCATAAGCCGTCTAGTCATCACCTTGCGCTGCCTCGTTCCCCTTCCCCCCCCCCCCCGCTTCATTCACCCAGGTGGTGCGCGACGTGCCCACATACACCATGGTGGCGGGAGACAGGGCGGAGCTCCGGGGGCTGAACCTCGAAGGGCTCAGGCGCTGCGGCTTCTCCACGGACCAGGTGCGTGCCTCGGGTGTTTCTGGACATTTTCATATGTTTTTTTTTTTTTTAAGGGGGGTTAGTTTTTTTTGTTGTTGTTGTTGTTGTTGTTGTTGTTGTTGCAAAGACGTTCCTCGAATTCTCATGCCAATGCCGGCAACTATCAGCTGTGACTTGCCCTTCTCGACCTACCAGATTCCCACCTTCTCCCAACCCCACCCTCCTAATCCTCCCTACGCCCTCCCATCTCCCTTCCCCCACCCCTTCCCCTCGCTCACTACCACCACAACACACCACACCACATCGCACCACACCGCACCGCGCCTCACCAGGTGCGCAATGTGCGGCGGGCCTACCAGCTGCTCTTCCTCTCATCCGCCGATGCCTCCACGGGCCTCGAAGACCGCCTCAACCAGCTGGTGAGTGTTTTGAAGTCCTGCAGTCTTCAACTCTCTCAATCCTCTTGCAGCCTTCAGCCTGGCTGGTCAGCAGCGGTAAGGTGAGCAGTGGCTGTTGAACCACCTGGCACCTACCTATCTAACAAAGTCCCGTCCTCCTAACCCCTCCTCCTTACCCGCCCCCTCTCGCTCCGCGTTACCGGGAGGCGAGTGAGCCAATGGCCGATCCGAATGTGGCTGCGCTGTTCTTGTCTGTCTGTGCACCCTCCCACCTGCATTTGTTCTCTCTACTCCCCTCTCCTCCCCCTCTCCTTGCCCATTCCGCCCATCTCCCCTGTCACCAGGAGGTGAGTGAACCATTGGCTGACCCGGACATGGCTGCACTGTTCACGCCCGTCCCTCCCTCTGTGCCTGGTCCTAATATGTCTCTTCTTAAGACACCTTTTTTCCTCCTCTCCTCCTTCCCCCTTCACCAGGAGGAGAGCGACCTAATGGCTGACCCCAACGTGGCTGCCCTGCTCACATCTGTGCGCGCCTCCTTTGGCGAGGGCCGGCGGGGCATCTGCAAGTTCCGGCACTGGTCCAGCGTGGAGTGAGGGGCAGGAAGAGGGGGCGGAGGGGGAAGGGGAGGGGGGCGACAGGCCGGGAGGATGGAAGGGTGATACCGCAAGAGAGCCGGCGGGGCATCTGCAAGTTCCGGCACTGGTCCAGCGTGGAGTGAGGGGCAGGAAGAGGGAGAGGAGGGAAAGCGGAGTGAAACTGGTTGGGAGGAGGGAGGGTGATACGGCAGGAGGGCAGGGAGGAGATTTGCAAGTTCAGGCACTGGTCTAGCGTGGAATGAGGGGGGGAGGGGCGAGAGGCGGGAATGGGGAGGGGTGGAGGGAGGAATGGAGGGGTGGAAGGATGGAGTACGTTGAGGGTTGTAGGGCGGTGAAGGGGGCGGTGGTGTAGGTGAAGGGGAGGAGGAAATGAGGTTTCTGTGTTGTTTTGGTTGTAAGGCAGAAGAAATGGGAGGCGGAAAGGCTTTCATGGTTCTGGCAAGAGACTAGGAGAATGGTTATGGATAAGGCTACTGCATGTGGGTGGGTAGGGTGGGAGTTTGGTTGACTGCGTAGGATAAGGATTTGTAGGGTGTTGGTATAGTGTTAGTGTGGCTGGTATGATAACAGGTGTACCTGCAGTAGCGTAATGGCGTACTGAGTTGTGTTGTAAACTAGCCATTGTAAACCAGCTATGCATTCAAACAGAACTTTTTAGGGGTTGTACCATAAGCTCTGTAATCACCACGTACGGTATTCATTTTTATTATAAGACTGAAAAGCACAGAGGCTACCGTATATGACGTGTGAATACTGTATCACGGCCACATCCCATCATGCATCAGCTTGCCTACATAGCAGCACATCAAAAGGCTAAATTTATTTACCGTAAATTTCCTTGAAGTCACAGCATATCAAACGGCAGATACCCGCTGCAATGCACTGAACCACAGCAACACTTGCTCCGCTTCACCAGCCGCCGCTGCTGCTGCTGCTGCTGCTGCTGCTCCCAACCCCTCCAACACTCTTCCATCCCACCACCCTCGCCTTCCACTCTCCCACCCTCCCCATCACCCCCTCCCACACTCCCACCCTCACCCCCTTCCACCTCCCTCTTCCCCTCCCCATCCCCATCCCCATCCACCCCCTCTCCCTCCCCTTCCCCCACATCCCCATAGCTAAACGTAAGCTCCTCTCCTTGCCGAACCTCTCTCCGAGCCACAAGCCCCACAGCAGGCAGCAAGCAGCCGGCCTGGCGAACCACCACCCGAGCCACGTTCCCTCCTCCACACTCGTGGCTCATGAATCGACCCAGGGAGCCCATGCGAGAGGGGTCGATCTGTGTGCGCAGGACTGCACCGGATGGGAGGTGCTCCCGTAGGGTGAAGAGGAAGCGTGGAGAGGGGCGGTGGGAGGGTGGAGTGTGGTTGTGGGGTGTGTCGTGGTGGTGGTGGTGGTGGAGGGGGGGTTGGGATTGGGATTGGGATTGGGACTGGGATTGGGATTGGGATTGTTGCTGCTGCTGCTGCTGCTTCTGTGGGCTTTGGTCTTCTTGAGCTGCCCTCTCCCCATGTGCACATGCGCTTGTGTGCAAGCCTGCAGCATCGTACAGAGCTTGCCTTGCACTTGCTTCCCCTGCACTCACCACCTCGCCTGCACCACCACGGAGGAAGAAGTGGGAGGGGGAATGAAGGGGGGAAAAGAGGTGGGGAAAGAGGTGGGGAGAGACGTATTGAGAGAGGTGGGGAGTGAGGTGGGGAAACAGGTGGGGAAAGGGGGGGATGGGGGTGGAGAGGGGTACTGGCAGGTGAGTATAAGAGCAGGAATTGCTTCCAACCAGCAAGCATGCGTTGACAAGCCTTTGAATAAAGCAGCATTAGGCATACCGTACCACCCCCCCAGATGCATCTCAGCTAAAGAAATGTGACTGCACGTGTGATGAATACCTTTCACATGCATTCAAGCTGGCGCCTCACTAGCCCAAAAGATTCTTAGCAGCCCGAGTAGACCCCTCGTGACAAAGCTTGGGAAACCCAACAACGCCTCGCCCGCGCCCGCATACTGGCAGATGAAGGCACCGCACGGGCTGCTCCCCTCGTGCCATCTCTGAGGCGCCTCAAAAATCGCTACTCTCTTACTTATCTGGCACCTCACTAGCCCCCTCACAGGTAAGAGAAGCTCTGACAATCACACAGCCTCACCGGCGTATTGGCAGATGAAGGCACCGCGTGGGATGCGCTCCTGGGCGACCAGGGTCCAGCCCTTGCTGCCACTCCACACCACTGCTAGGCTCCACTGCACGCCCCGCTGACTGCTGCGGTTGGGACACCTGGGGCATGCGGGGGTGAGAGTGGCTCCCTCCTCCTCCGCTGCTGCTGCTGCTGCTGTTTCGACTGTGTTGGTTGGTGTGTGGGGTGATGGATGTGAGGCCATGCAGTGCTGCAGAGCACAGGAGCAGAAGGGCCCACACTCAAACACCACATCGTCCTCATCTGCCTCCTCTGCTTCATCTGCTTCCCCTTCCCCCCCTTCCCCCCCTTCCCCTCCTCCCCTCCGCCCTTTTCCCCGGCCCTCCCCCTCTCGCCCTGTCCCCAAGCGTCCATGTTCCCCGCGCCCTGCTTTGGAACGCAGGGGCGCGGCACAAGGGCAATGCGCACGGATGCAGCAGTTATGGCTGCCACCACCACAGCCGCAATCACCGCTACCAGAACCCCTCGCACCCGTCTCTTCTCCTTCCCCCGCCTCCCCCTCCTCCACGCTCTCGTCCGCTTCCCCCTCCCTGTATCCGCGCGTGCAGCAGTCACAGCCAGGCCATCCGCGCCTTCCGCCCCCGCTCCGCGCATGGGCGGAGATCGCGGGGAGCAGGCTCGACACCGCGTCCTGAAGCGCGTGCGCCTGCAGCGCCTGCCGCGCCACCGCCTGCTGCTCCGCCTGCCATTCCGACTCCACGTCCGCTTCCCCTTTTCCCTCTCTCCCTTGCTTCCGCTTCCGCGCATCTGACTGCCCGCCCCGCACAACTTGCGCGACTTTCGCCCCGGGGAGTGGTTTCCGCTGCTGCTGCTGCTGCTGCTGCTTCTCGGCTCCTACCCTCCCGTCAGACTGTCGGGAATCGGGCCGCGTCAGCTGCTGCCGCTCCGCGCGCTTAGAGTCATCAGCGCGATCTGCGCGCTTAAGATAATCCGGGAGCACCCCCCACCACCACGACGGCTGCGGATATGGATACGGCGGAGCGATCGGCGGACTGATCGGCGGAGCCTCCGCGGATGCGCGGCTCTCGCGAACGCGGATAGGTCCCGCGCCGCCGCCTTCGCCCTGCGGCGTTCCCGGTGGGTTGACGATCTGGCGATTTTGGAAGTGAAACAGCAAGGAAGGAAAGGACGATTCGTCTGACGTCACCCGCACGTTCGCGCGCGAATAGCGGAAGTACGCATACCGCGGGGCGGACGGCATCGTTGCGCCCCCCGTCCCCTCCGCCGTCCCCGCGGCCCTCGCTCCCCCCGCCTCACTTTGAGGTGCGCGATCCGGAATAAGAAACGGGACGGCACGCGGCTCGCTGCCGCCCGTGGAATCGGCGGCGCGTGCGGCGGTGACGGCGGCGGCGGCAGCGGCGAGGGAGGAGCACGTGAGCGCAGCGCTGGCGATATCGCGCGGGGGGAGCAGCGAGAGCACGAGCGACCAGGCATCGATTCGCAGAGGCGCTTGGTAAGGCGGAAAAATGGGGGGAAGGCAACGGGAGGAAGGGGAACGCGCGGACGGCAAAGGGTAGGCGGGCGACGGGGAGGAAGCGCGGGGATTGCTCAATGCGGCCCGCGCGCCGTCACCGCAGGGCGCCGCGTGGGCCGGCTGCAGGCTCTGCATCGGGATAATTCTGTCTGAGATACTAACTCAGGTGATTTTTTGAGTCTGACTCATAACTCAGAAAGGTTTCGTTTGCTCATCTGGTAAGGCCCTCCTTTCCTCATGCATGCTTTCTGGCCGCATCATACCAGTGATTCTTACCACAGTATTTAGTATTACTGGCTAGTGTTTCAAGTTAATGGTTTGCTTCTCCTGCAGCACGGTTAGTGAACGGCGGCGGTGGCGCAGGATTTCATCCATGGCGGATGGCCATGGTCCAAGACTCTTGGTACCCCATCAGATTAGTGTTTCATAAATCCAATGCAGACAGAATAACACGGCCTTTGGACAGGAAAACTTTACAGGATCTAGTCTTACCTATGCAGGAAAACTCCAGAACATTCATGTGCAAATTAAGAGGCACAGCTTGTGAACCTTCCCTCTCTAAACTGGTGATGATAACCTAAACTCAAATGATGGCCTAGCTAGCTCATAGCTACACAATGAACAAATTAAATGGTTGCTGCTGCTGCAAATGAATTCCAGCAGACATATGAAAAACTCAAAACTGGCAGGTTCACGAGCCGTGCACCCTAACCACCGCACTGCACCATTCCTTGCAACACCCCTCTCTCCCCAGTACCCTCTTGAGTCTTGACCCTCACTCTGAAACGTCTTCTTGCTACTTGCTGCCGCCACTGTCACTGCCGTTGCTGCGTGTGCGCTTGTGCACGTGCTCGTCCTCCTCTCCCTCCATCCGCCCACCATCTACCCACATGTCTGTGGGCCGTTTCAAAGTTGCCACTGCCGCTGCTGCCACCGCTGCTGCTCCTGCTGCTGCTGATGCATCTGCTTCTGCAGCCACAGCACAGCCACCGCCATTGTTGCTCCTGCTCCTACTATGCACACCAGTCTCCTCTCTCTGCTCTCCCTCTTCTCCACCCAAACCACCACCCTCCCCAGCCAAGTTCACTGCTACCGTAGCTCCCTTTACAGCTTCGGCCGCCCCTGCTACCGCCACCCCTCCTACTCTCTCCATTTGCACTCTCATCACCACCTCCTGTGCCACCTCCCCTGCTGCTGCTGCCACTGCTCTTGACTCAGCTGTTCTTGAGTTAGCTGTCATGCAAGTCGCCTCAACGGGAACAGATGCCTCTTCCTTCTCCTCATCTGCCTTTTCCACCTTATTCTCTTCTTCCTTCTCAATCTCCTTCTCCTCCTCCTGTTGCTTCTCCGATTCTTCACCCTCAGTTCCTCCCCCCCCTTTCTCCGCGCCCTCTTCCCCCTTCTCGCTCCGCTCCGCCACTCTATGATCCACCAGCAGTCGTATCCAATCCATCACGCGAACCACGTGCTGCAGCGCCGTCGCGGGGTCGCTAACCTGCGTCATATTCGGCGCAAACACCACCGCCATATTCCGCGCGCTCATGCGGTTCTTCTCCCCGTGCGCGCACACGTCCGCCATCAGGTTCAGCGCCCAGTCCAGCAGCCCGCGCTCCGTCGCGGGGAGTTTCGCGGCGAGCGCGACGGAGGCTTCCGTCGTGTTGGGGGTGTTGGCGAGGCGGGATGGCGACACGGAGTCTAGCAGGCCGTATGGAAGCTCTTGGAACCATGTCTGGAAGAGGGGAGCGAAACGGGGGTCGGGGAGGGAAAGGGAGAGCAGGGAGAAAGGGTGCAAGGGAGGAAAACGACTGAGTTTCACATCAGATCCGCAAACGCGAAAGCAAATGGGTGCGGCAACTGCGCATACACAGAGCTTCGAGGAGAGGTGCTGGGAGAGGCGCGGGGAAAGGCGCGGAGCGAGGCGCGCGAAGAAGCGCGCAAGTGGCAAGAGGCGGGTGTGTACCTTGATGAGTGCGGCGATGCTGTGCACGTCCATGTCCGCGGGTACGGTTCCCGCGCTCATCTGCTCGCGCACGCGCTCGTCGTGCTCCATCTTGCCCGATATGCGGAAAATGCCCTCCGCCTGGCGCGCGGAACACACAACATGGGGAAGGAGAGAGGAAGCGGAGATGAGTAAAAGGCGGAGATGGCGACAGCGAGTTGAAGAGAGCAGGGGGGAGTGACGTGATAGGGGAGAAAATGGATGACGCGGGTTATATGACCGGGCCCCGCCAGCAAGCGCGACGGGCGGCGACGCGAAAGATAGAAAACCGCGCGAGATGAGCTTGTTTGTTTGTTCTTAGGGCGGCAAAAAAAGTTGGCCGAGGAGCGGCAGCAGAGAAAGAGGACGCGGCACCGACACGGCAGGGAGAAGCGGCGCGGCTTACCGAGAGGCCGTGAAGCTCGTATAGGCGCTCCTGTAGCTTGATAAGGATAGTCGGCACCGCGTTGCCGTGCCTGTCCAGAGAGCACTGCATCGACTCGGGCCGCACGCCGAATACGGAAAGGCTGCCACGTGGAGCGGGAGGAAACGGAAGATGATGGAGAGGTAAGCGGAGGGAGAAGGGGGAGGGGAGAGGAGGAACTATTCGAGAGGAGGAGTTTTTGTAGTAATTAATCTTTATCCCGTCGCATGCGGCTGGACGAGCGCACCCGGAACTTTACGACCGGAGCTTCGGAACGGAAACCCGAAGCTTGAGGCGGTGGAAAATTAAGTATAACAAAACAAGTATCAACGCACCTGGCGCTGGGAGGGACGCCGTCGACGTGCTTCAAAAACTCCTCGGGCAGCCCGAGAAAGCCGCGGTAGCGATCGAAGGTGACGTGCGCCACGTGTTTAACGTTGAATGGCTGACCGATGTCCATCATGGGGTGCATGGCGCACGAGTCGGACCACGCCGCGTCGCGGCGGAGCAGACAGAAGGACCGGCGAATGGCTGTCATGCGGAAGACGCGGGAGGGAGGGAACGTGGGGGGAGGAAGGGGAATGGTGGGCGGGGGATTAGTGGGGGGAGGGCGGGAGTGGGTTGAGGTGGTTGGGAAATGGTTCGATGGAAAGGTGCTGTTAGCATTAAGGGTGGCTGGTGCGGAAAGGTTCGTACCAAGCATGATTCGTTTGATGGATGACCTCGATAGAGTGCTGCTGCTGCTGTAGCGCGGTGCGTTCGAGTATGGGGCGACGGACGCCGCTGTCATACAATCGGTGATGCTAGATACGGAGGAGTACGATCAGGCTAAAAAGACTAATGATTTATAGCGGGAGCAGCGTGACGGCCGAGTGGAGTAGCTCGAAGCAGACTGCAACCTGGAGCTTCCGTGGCACTAGAGGCGGAGTGAAAGTAGGCGCGTTTGCGATGAGCCGGAAAGAAAACGCCTGTAAAACGTCGATCGATCTTGGAGGAGCTAGGAGTAGCAAAACGTAGTGTGGAGAAGAAAACAATCGGTGGACGGAACTAGTTCTGGACGAGGAAAGAGCGCTACTTCTGGCAAAATGGGGAGGGGATGCTGGCTCGGTTGGGAGGAAAAAGGCCGGCAACTGGATCACTAAGGATGGCTAGCGGTGGGCATTTGGGTTTATCCCTCTAGTGTGGTGTGGTGTGGTTGTGTTGAGGATGGTCGCGCGTCGTTCACCACGATTATTTGTCGACGGACGGAATCTTGCATGAATGAACCGCAATCAGAGGGGGGTGGATTGGGAGGAAAGGGGTGGGGTTTGCCTAGGATGACGACAACCCAGTCACGCAGTTACGTTACGTTACGTTGCGTTCCGTCGCGTTCTGTGTGATGGCTCGCTGACAGGCAGGGCGGCAGGGCAGAGATGAAGGAACGCAGGGGTACTCCGTGTAAATCCGACTGCGAGTATTAAACAACACGATCTCTGAAAAGTCCGCAATCCCCACAATAACCGCGCTGAGTATGGTACGAATATGTAAAAAACAATACTTAGCGTTTCAATGTATTTCATGTCTTACATAGATTGCCTTTCGGTCTGCCCGGAAGCAGACAGCATTTACAGCACTACGATTGTACAGTCGAACCTGCCTTTCTCTTCGCTCTTCCCCTCACCCAACCAGTAAACCTGCAGAACGACCTGCTGCCACTGGGCTTGGTTTGGTCAGCTCCGTGACTCCGTCACTCAAAAGTTCGTGGTTGGGCAATGACCAGAAATCGAGGTTGTTGATTCCACCAGACCGGACGCGCGAACATGACCTCCCGCTGGGGCGGCGGTGGCTCGAGAGGAATGTACAGTACACGTTGACGTTGTTCCAAGCCGAGTTGTCGACGTTTCCTCTGCTCAAGTCATTCGTTCCAAGGCGTTCCGTTCCGTCAAGACGCCGTTTGGTTGGATGGATCATGGACGTCTACTCTTTCAAAATCAGCCGCTGAACAGCGATTTTCGCGCACATTATTGGTGGAGTTGCGTTGCATGCGTGCATTCGGCGGGGGGCCCACGCCGGCCGAACTTGACGGAAATGCAGCAGACCCTTGACGAACGTTCTCCTCACACAGCACGTCAGGTCAAATAAAAACCAAGGAGAACGTTCTCAGCTTGCACTGCCTGCCTGTGACTGCCCAAAAAACCACCACCAGCAACGTGCGAGCCGCCAGTTCAGGTGGGCCAGTAGCAACTCGCCTGGAACAGCTCCTGAGGCGTGTGACCCTCATCCATAACGCGGATGCTTGTGGTTGGTGGATGTGAACTGGTTGTAACTGCCCTTTTCCGGTTCTTGCTCTATATGCCATTTCATAACTAATTGAATTTAGAGCCTGCTATTCTCGAACTTCAAGTGTCCTTGGTTTTAGACCCCCCTTGTTCTGGGGTTTCAGAAATAGAGAAATTATTTTCTCTGGGAATGGCATGCCTGACTTTTAGGCTTATGAACAGGTAGTCAAAGTACACACTATCAACAAGATTGATGAGTCAACTTTGCTGATAACCAGTCTGAGTGAGGCCCTACATTCAAATTCCCACACAAGGTTTGTCCCATACTTGATTCACTACTCAGGCTGCCAATCTTATCCGTAAACTTGAGAAACCCTCAAGGCAATATCGTGAGTACATGATAATCTCGCATTCCGTGACTGGGCCCATAAGAACTTGGAGAAGGTTGTTCGTCAGGAGCAAAAAGATGGATAATACATGAGTCTGCGCCTGATAATGTACCATAATATGGCTGAAGACATTTTGAGCTGATGCTGAAGACAGGTGGTAAGAAGCACAGTGCACTGTGATTTGCATCGCAAAGGGGTCGCCGTTGCAGACTGCAGATTGAAAGAAGGTGTTGCGGCATGCCCGCTATTAGGGCAGCAACTACCGGTACCACTAGGATACTAAAATGAAGCTACCAGGGCAAGGACGAATGTGGTGCGGACAGGATGGTTGATTGATTGGCACACTGCAAAGCTTAGCTCTGGAGGAGTGGGGGAAGGCATGGGGGAAGAAGGGGGAGAGATGGGGACAACAGGAGTGCAAGATTGAGGAGGAAGTGAGCGGTTGATATGGGACACATGGCGATGGATGGTGATTCTGTAGTTAGCGGGTGAGGGGAGGTGAGCATGCAGAGAGGAGCGCTGGGGAGAGAAGGTTGAAGGGATGTAGTGGGGGATACACAGGGAGGAGTAAGAGAGAGATACGCAGAACGAGCAGGGTAGTAAAGGATATGCAGGGAAGGAAGGGGGAGAAGGGAGGAGGGGGGAAGAAGCAGAGCGAGTGCGAACCTGCATGGCCTGTTGAGGAGGAGCGGACATGGGGGGAGCATTGGCAGCGTTGTGGGAGTCTCTGGTATCCAGCTCAATCTTGTGCTGCGTCTGCAAGGGGGGGCATCACATCACCATGGCAGCGGGGATCCAACCATGGGGGTTAACAACACCAGGGTATGGAATGGGTGCGTGAAGGAATAAGTGTACATTCACTGGCATCAGCAATGGCCGTTCCGTCCCATAGCATGAATTTGACAGTGTGAAACTGGCCGAGGTGGGAAACTGGACAATTTGTGAGTCAGGCGAAACAAGGGCTTGGTGCTCGCAGTTTCACGCGCTGAATCCGGCAATGTGCGAGTAAGAATTTGGCTGTTAGGCAGAAAGAAAGGAGCACTGGATAGGGTCTGTGACAACAGCAACAGCAACAACAACACTGAAAGTGAGAGTGAGGGAGAGGGCGAGGGTGAGGGCGAGAGTGAGGGTGAGAGTGAGGGTGAGGGTGAGGTTGAGGGTGAGAGTGAGGGTGAGGGTGAGGGTGAGGGTGCGGGTGAGGGTGAGGGTGAGAGTGAGGGTGAGGGTGAGGGTGCGGGTGAGGGTGAGGGTGAGAGTGAGGGTGAGGGTGAGGGTGAGGGTGAGGGTGCGGGTGAGGGTGAGGGTGAGGGTGAGGGTGAGAGTGAGAGTGAGGGTGAGGGTGAGGGTGAGGGTGAGGGTGAGGTGGGTGGCGGAGAAGGGAGAGGGAAAAGGCAAGGTCAGACGAGAATGGTTTACCTGCATGCATGCACACACACTGGCGTCAGACGGGTCGGAAAGAGGGCGCCACCCAAAGGGTAGGCAGGCGCGATGGGGGGAGAGGGGAACGGGGAGGCAGGGAACAGGGGGAACGAGCAGATGATAAGTGGATTGGAATCTGCATATGAGCACACAGCTGGGGGAGGGGGGGGGGGGGGGGGTGGGGGTGGGGGTATATCTAGAGAAGGGGGAACGAACGAGGCAAGGAAGGAGGCGAAGAAGCGAGAGAGCGGATATCAGCAAGGCTGGGTGGGTGGGGAGCACGTGCAAGTGAGGCGTGAGCAAGCAAGAATCATGCGGTACGCATGTGTAAGACGTCGCAGCAGCAGCAGCAGCAGCAGCAGCAGCAGCAGCAGCAGCAGCAGGAGGTACAGGCCCAGAGAAGTACGGCGCTGGAACGGAACGAGAGAGAGAGAGGGGCGTTGGAGAGCAGTTGAGAGAGGGCGAGGCGAGGCCAGGGGGGGGCGTACGAGCAGTAGACGACATCAGCCATGCAGCGCAGAGCATGTGCGGCGTCCTGAAGGCTGTCGCTCTGCAGGATGCACGCGAGGATGGCGAAGATGCACGCCAGCTGCTCCAGACACACCAGGAACGCCTGTTGGTGGGGAGAAGGGGGGTGCGGCAGAAGAGGGGTGGCGGAGAGGGCAGGTGAGGGGAAGGGGGGTTAGAGACTGGAGAATGCAGACAGGATGCAGGCGAGGACGGCTTGTTGGTTGGGAGAAGGGGCAGGGCGAGACGAGGGGTGGCGGAGGGGCCAGGGCAGCGGAAGGGGTTGGAGGCGGGGGAATCGAGGCTCTACGCGGGCGAGGATGGTGAAGGTGCATGCTGGCTGCTCTAGACACACCAGAAAGGCTTGTTGGGCGGGGGAAATAGGACACGGGCCGGGGAAGGGCGGGCGGGGCGGGGTGGATCGGGGGGAGACGGCGCGTGGCAGGGGGAGCAGGGCAGGGCAGGGCAGGGCAGGGCAGCGAGCATACCAGAATGCCGTTGTCGCACTTGCTGTTCATGATGTTGAGCTGGTCCTGAATGAGGAAGCGCGTGGAGGAGGGGAAGCACAGGCACACCTCCACGCCCAGACAGGACAGAGTAGGCCCGGGGAGAGCAGAGAGCATACCAGAATGCCGTTATCGCACTTGCTGTTCATGATGTTGAGCTGGTCCTGAATGAGGAAGCGCGTGGAAGCGACGGACGAGGGGAAGCACAGGCACACCTCCACGCCCAGACAGAACTTCGGACACTTGGACTCCCCGCAGTGCCCGCTGCACGGGAGGAACCCTCCGCAGCACTGGTACCTGGCGCGCGGGGGGGGAGGGGAAGAAGGGGGAGCGGGGAGGCGGGGTGCGGGAGTGCGGGGTTGTGGGTGTGGCGGGTGGGGGAGGCAGGATAGAGTGTAGTACGCCGGCGGGAGGAGTCCCGGGGAGAGGAGAAGAGAACGTGGAGGTACGAGCAGATCT